CCTCCCATTTTTGGATGCACGACGGACGGACGGACACAATAATCCCCTGTGGGCTGGTGGAACCAGGTGGTCCCTACCAGTGTATTCAAATGTGTAGGGTGTATTCATGCAAGCAAGCTGCTTACACACCCACTGAATGACACAGATGTCCAGTGCCGTGAGTCATGTCTGTTGGCATGGCGCTCACTGCACCCTTGTTTACACGTATGAAACCAGAAAGTTGTGTGCCAGTGAGTGTGCGAGAGCTGTCTCAGGTGCTGGTTTAAGGTGCCAGTCTCTTCAGACGTGTTGGTTCAAATCCTGCTGCTGCCACCAATTGTTACATTAAACACGTAGGCTTTCGCGACCAATATTATCCGTAATAGAGGTTTTTTTTCGGTTAGATCGCGTAACATATAAATGTGTCGTTAAACCCGCCACCAGCCGATAAAGCCAAATTAGTAAGATTTGTCACGTAAACACAACATCCCAATTCGTTACTAGTTGAGCACACTGGTGTGTTGGAGAGTAAACCCACACAATTTACAATTCGAGTATGATGTTTTTCTGGTTATTACCACCAGCATCATCAGGCGACAGCCAGAATTCTCGTGAATAGCACATTTAGCGCATAATGATATTGGCCGACGAAAACCTATCTATTTTTGAATTACCTTAAATAATACATTCTATCACAGCACTTTATCTCTCATCTCTTTAACTGATCACCTTATCTCTATTACTTTATCTCTCATCACTTTATCTCTCATCACTTTATCTCTCATCGCTTTATCTCTCATCGCTTTCTCTCTCCTCGATCCAATCGAGTAGAGTTCCAGATGCCATTCGCGGACAGCCAAAATCGCGCATGGCAAGTTCGTGAGCAACGAAGACATACTGTGTGTACATCCAGAGAACAACCATTCGGCCCACCGTGTCCATTCCCTAGGTTCTCGTTTTTGGAGAGAGCGAGAGAGGTGTTGTCTTTTGTAGTTCGGAGCTGGTAAAGGTGCAGGAAAATGAATGAACACACATGTCAAAAAAGATTAACCATCCCTGTCAACCCCTTATCAGTGCCTACCTTATTACAGACCAATTCAGACCTTATTGGACACCCAATGCCTTTATAAATCTCAACGTTCATCCTACAAAATCCCATCACAAGGGAGAAACACAAACAAATAGACGAAAACAATTTGCCCGTATTGAAACGGCTGTACACCGTATCGACCTGAAAACTCAATTTCCCTGTACAAGAATACAGGTAAACTATGGGTTGACAGTTATGAACATCATCGTCATGATCATTTCCTTCAGCCATTGTGCAAACCACTGCTAGATGAAGGCCTCCCCAAGCTGCCACATTTCACGATCCTAATAAATGTACTATTGACTATTTTACTGTTTGTATTTAACCAGGCAAGGCCCATTGAGCTATACAGCTTTTTTTCAGAAGTGACCTGGCCACAATTGATAGCTCAACGGAGTGGCTTAGGAGCCGTTCATAAATTACGTCACGCACCTAGGGGGGGGGGGGGGGGTCAGACATTTGTGACGATGTGTGACGAGGGGGGGGGGGGTTGAGAAATGTGACGTCACATCAGAATGCGCAACTTTAAATAAATATAGACAACACGTTCTACTTAATTAAATAGACTATTTAATGAATGTTTTCTCCTACAACATCAGAGTGCAGCGCCACATTAAATACACACTACAATGACAATAGTTTAAAGCGATTTGAAGCATGTTTTATTTTGGGGGGGGGCAGAGCTTTGTGACGTCATATTTGAGGGGGGGTCTGACTTTTTGTGACGCCGTGTGACTAGGGGGGGGGGGGTCAAAAATCGTCCAAAATCGCGTGATGTCATTTATGGACGACCCCTACCGCGGGGACATTTATAGCAGCCAAATGCTCTAAACCAGGGTTCGGCATGCCTGCGGCTCCGGAGCCGCGTGTGTCTCTCTCAGGACTGCTTCGCGAAGTAATTCGTGAAGGAGCACCGTCTCGATTTTGGAATGTTGAGGTTTTTTTTTTACCAAATTAGAAAAAATTGTCATCTTTTGTTATCTTGGTTGCTGACCCCTAACTTCGGATGCCCGTGGCCCCCCTCCCCCCCGTCCCACTTTCCGCCCGCCCTCCACAAGCGCGCCAATTCCTGCGTGAGATCTCCTCGGGGCTGCTCTACCTGCACGCGCACGGGGTCATCCACCGCGACCTCACGCTCGCCAACCTGCTCCTCGCCTCCGACATGTCGACGCGCATCGCCGACTTCGGCCTGGCGGCGCGGCTGCCCTTGCCCGGCGAGTCGCGGCTCACCGTGTGCGGCACGCCCAACTACATGTCGCCCGAGGTGGCCTCGCGCGGCCCGCACGGTGCCCCCGCCGACGCGTGGGCCCTCGGCTGCGCGGCCTACGCCATGCTGGTGGGGCGCCTGCCCTTCCAGGCGTCCGCCGTCCCGGCCACGCTGGCGCGCGTCATGCTGGCGCGCTTCGAGCTGCCGCCCACGCTGTCGCCCGCCGCCCGCGACCTCCTGCGCCGGCTGCTGCGGCGAGACCCCGGCAAGCGGCCGGGCCTGCCCGCCGTGCTGGAACACCCGTTCCTGGCGGACGGCGGCGGCGAGGCGACGGCCGGGCCGATGGCCGGTCCGCCACTCCGGCCGGGAGACGAGGGGTCGCTGGACAGCGGGAACGCCACCATGACGGCGCCGGTGGACGAAGGCGACGACGAGAGGGAGGCGAGGGCGCCCGCGGAGGGAGACGGCGGCAGGGAGGGGGGAGGAGGAGGAGCGAGCGCGGATGTCCGTGTGGACGGGCACCAGGCTGTTGCTCAACCACCAGCAGCGGCAGACTTTCTGCGGCCACAAGAGAATGGCGCAGGTGATGGTGATGATGAGGGCTGCAATGAAGTTTAGTTTTTCCTGTCGGGGAAATTGGCAATTGGATCGTGGCCAATGATCAAGGTGGTGTTGATATTATCTAATTTTTTTTACTTATTTTGTATCATAAAGTATCAAACTGTTTCATTGTAATGTGCAATCTTACTCCACGTATGACCACACCTTTGTGTGGTGGAGCACCGTTTCTGTTATTCGGCTGCATTGCTGTATGATGATCTTTTTTAACACCGTACGTAGCCAACCACGCTAATCGGAGGTGTGGGGGAATGACAACAAACTAAACACAAAACGCAGTTCTGAAGAAATTAGTTCGTCAATCTGGATGATTTAAAAGTGTACAGCTCCAGTGGCTTCCTAATATCGGAAGGAAGAGCGTTCCAGACGACCACAGAAGTGCATCTGAAAGCGCGCGATGCAGTGACCACCGTCTTTGTTCGACGGTTAGCTGCCAGCCACTGCTGCGAGGATGACCGGAGTTCCACTGATGATGGAGTTCGCGTGATGGTGGGATGTTGTCTCCCTAGCCTGGTATGCAGGAGGTCGTGGGTTCGATCCCGACCGTGACACCTGCTGTATTTTTGGAGTTTGAATTTTCTCCCCGTGGTCACGTGAATTTTTCTCTGGGTCCTCCAGTCTTTCCCTCTACACTTAGAGTCAACACGCATTTACAGTATTTGGCTGCTATAAATTTCCACGTGATAAGTGACTTAGTTGCGCCAGCATTTATGATGGTCAGGTCTTTTTTGAAAAAGAGCGATACAGCTCAGTGGGCCTTACATGGTGAAATAAAATAGTTTTAGTTTAAGTTCCTTGGCGATAAATTGCTCGAGCATTGCCACCACTACTTCCCCCTCTCTCGTGTGCTGCGGTCACCTCAGTGACACTTTCATATTTTTGTTGTTCACTTTTCCCCCATTTCCCGCAGGCGTCGCCAACGGTGGCCGCACAGCGATGGGGCTGGAGGCCGTCGGAGCTCGGCAGCACGATCGGGCCCCGTCAGCGGACGCCCTCTGCCCGGCTCACCAAGGGATCCTTATCAGCGGGCCCGCCGCCCAACTGTGCGGTGGGCCGCAATGTCCCCTGGCAAGGTGGCAGCCCGCTGAGGCAATGGGCGGAAGGGGCGACTCCTGCTGTCACACACCTCCCCACGCCTGCCAAGCCTCCAGGTGAGGTGCTCTCGGACACCGGTAGCAGGTTAAAGCATTCTGCGGCCTGGGCTATCGAGCGTGCATGCGCACCTCCAATTGGCACGGTTGTTCACTCCAGTGTGATTAGAAGTTCAACACACCTTACGTGCATGCGGTCCGAAAAGGGTTGCCACATCTATGAAATAAAACTGCGATATTATCATGGGAAGAAGATACAACGTGGAGTGTGGAGGGCCATGTGCGAACGCGTTGTCTTGAGCGGTGTATCAAGATGCAACTGACAAATCAGCTCTGGAAATTTGTGGAATTCAAATCCTGCCCAGCAGGCCCTGCTCTGACTCCTTTAAAATGAGTGAGGAGGTGGGGTCAGTAGAGTTGCTGTGTGGGGGAGCTGCCATCACAGCAGCACCACTAGGGTCCACCCCAGCCCTCACTTAATTTTTTTTTCTTAACGTGGAGAGAAAAACCAGAGGACCCGGAGAGAGAGAGAGACATGCAAAACTTCAAATGTACAACAGGCGTAAGGGTCGGGATCGAACCCACAACCTCCTCCATTCCAGGCAAGGTAGTTAACATCTTGCCACCGAAGCACTAGCCCTGCCACCCAGGGGTCAACGTAGCCCATGTGGTCAACGTACCCCATGGGTCGATGTAGCTCAAGGGGAAGGTAGCCCAGGGATCAACATATCCCAGGGGTCAGCATATCCCAGGGGTCAATGTGTTCCAGGGGTCAACATAATCCAGGGGGCTCGTGAAGGATGCTTTTGGGCAGTTGGATGCAGTCGCCCTCCAACAACAGCGGAGGGCAGAGGAGCGACGCTCACAACAACGAGCAGAGCGCCGGGCGCCCAAAATAGCAACTAGTGGGTACAATAGAGGGCACAGCTGGTGCATCTGCCGGTTGTTTCAGCCGGTCAACCCATGGCACCTGGGTCTGTCCCGTGACCTCCTGCCAGCAGCGAGCCTTCCGACACTTGACGTGGCCTCAAAGTACATCTGGCCTGGCACAGGTGCCCTGGCGACGTCACTGTCACTAAGTGGTGAATGCTGTTGGTGTTGGTATTGATCTGTGAATGTGATTTATTTTTGTCATTGTCGCTCTTCCGCTTGCAACTTGGGATGAACAACGTCGGTAAGACAAGTTGTTACATTTCATCGATTGTTGTTATTATTATACGAGCTGACGATTCACCAGCGAATCAACCGCTGTCATTAAAATAAACCTGTAAGTGCAACGAATGTCTATGGATGTGCTATGAATCAGGGCCATTGCCCGACATGTTATCTATTTTCTACTTTTCATTTAAAGGCCGAGTATGTTGAGGTTTTTTTTTTACATATTGATAGCATTTTTGATATACAGCACCATTTCGTAGGAGTTGTTTGAATACGAATTGAAATACGTGTACAGCAATATTCCCATTTACGCCCTCCCGTTGTTTCGCTATGACGCACCTCCGATCAGCACGGTTGGCTACGTATGGTGCGAAAGAAGTTCAACATATAAACATACTGCCCAAAGACTAACACTACCCATAGACTCAACACTGCACCTTCGAATAGCATGGTTGACTACGTACTCAACTTATTGACACCCAATCCCGTGTTATGTACCGTGGTACCTCGCCATAACGAACTTGACGTTGTACGAACTTCACCGTTGATCCCCAACATTTTTTTTATGTTCCACGGGGAACATCCGTGCACCAGATTCGTACTACTCAGTAGTACCTACTACTACCAGTAGTAGTAGTGGTACTACTCGTAGTACCTACTACTATTAGTAGTAGTAGTGGTACTACTGTTTAGGAACTGTACCACGTTATGATCCACCATCCTGTCTGTAGTAGTACCACTCGTAGTAATAGGTGGTACTACTATTAGTAGGTGGTACTACGATAAAAGAGACTTCAGAAGTAGATCAGTGGCGTCATCTTCCGCTCCCTTCTCTCACACGGCACGGTGCCAACGCTCACTGGGGAACATCCCTTGTGAAGAAAATGCTGTGGCTCACGACACAGTTGCAGCGTACTTGTTCAAATGTACACCGTATAAACAAATTAACAAGTTAGGAAGAACCACGAAGGTACATTATTTACAAACGCTTTTCAACATACAGGGTGTTTGCAAATAGTGGCATTTGTTCTGGTTTGTGTCAAATGTTGTGTAACCCTCTGTTTGGTTGCTTTTCAATCGGCTAGATCCCCATACCTGTCAACCCCTTGTCAGTACCCTTACCTTACTACAGACCAAATCAGACCTCATTGGTCACCCCGTGCCCTGATAAATCTCAACGTTCATCCTACAAAGTCCCATCACAAGGGAGAAACACAAACAAATAGACACATTTTTGTGCCCATGTTGAAACGGCTGTACGCCATATGGACTTGAAAACTCAATTTCCCTGTACAAGAATATGGGTAAACTGTATGAGTTGACAGCTATGGATCCCTCATAGCAACACACATATGTTCTAAAGTTTGATTCATATTGAATCATCTTAATATCAAAACACATAGGCACGTCCTATAGTTGCATTCATATTGAATCATCTTAACAGGAACACACAGGCACGTCCTATGGTCTGATTCATATCGAATGATCTTCACCAGCGTTAAGGTGCACCCTCGTAATGGGCCCAAGAACAGCGCTAACACTTAAACGCATTCAACCTTGTGTGCAAAAAAAAGGGCATAACTCAGAATGCTTACTGCCAAAGCTTGTGTTTGTAAGCATATGGATTTAAAAATATAGAAGCATTTTAGTTTTCCAGATGGAATCATTGGGAGGGGCGAGACAGCATGAGTATTCATCACATTGTGGGGAGTTCCTTTAACGAGCGGAATTCAACAGCGTTGCCTTGTGCAGGTGCTGCCACGCTACCCAGAACTCCTCCCTGCTGCCGCTCCCCAGCTCGGTGCTGTCCCCGCTCGTGACCCCGCACTTGGCGTGGGGGAGTCCATGCCACGGCGCCGTCACCACCGCCGGTGAGTCCGCACCCAGGGGCTTTACAGACGGTCACATTCTTCATTTAGACCGCACGAGGAGGAGGAGGTATGATGAAGAGAGAGGAAGCGGGAGAAGAAGGTAGAGGAAGAAGCAGGTGGAGGAGGAGGTGGAGGGAGGAGGGAGCAGGTGGAGGAGGAGGTGGAGGGGGGAGGGAGGAGGTGGAGGGAGAAGGAAGAGGAGCGACCAGCCGTCTGGAACGCTCTTCCTTCCGATATTAGGAAGCCACTAGAGCTGTACACTTTCAAATCATCATCTATATTGATAAACTCGTTTCTTTAGAACCTCTTGTTGTGTTTAGTTTGTTGTCCTTCCCCCACACCTCCGATGAGCATGTTTGGCTACGTACGGTGCGAAAGAAGTTCCACATACATACATGGTTGGCTACGTACGGTGTGAAAGCAGTTAAACACGTACACACTGGTGGTTTACGCTACGTGCGACACGTGGTCAAGACTCCTAACACGCGCGGTGCGGCCCGTGCGCGCGCTCGCAGGCTGTGCGTGCGCCCACGTCCTCGTGGCAGCGGCGGCGGCCGCCACCACCGCCGCCAGCTGCTGCTGCCGCTCGCTGCTGCCGAGCGGCACGGCCTGGCCCTGCGACTGCTCCTCCTCCTCCAGGCTTCAGAGGTCGGAGGTCAACAAAGGCAACGCCGGCGGCGGGCGGCCCGTGGCGGCGCGGCAGCTCTACCGCGGCAGCCCCTCCCGCGGCAAGGAGAACCGCGCCGACGCTCCGGTCCACGGATCGTGCGCCGAGGAGATCCGTGCGCCAGAGGTGGTGAGGGAGTTGTCGTTCAACCAGACTAGCGCGAGCTGGGGACGATCGGGGCGGTAGAGTAGATTTATTCGACAAGATGTTGCGATCGATTCCTTTTTTTTTGTGGTCACTCACACGGGGGGCCCGCTTTGAGGATGGCGGCCGCCCCCTTCACCCACTCTGCCTTTCGCACCCAGTGCAACACGGGCGATCGTTCTAACGGCGTCACCTCCGGTCCAGTGGCACACACGGGGGCACGGTGGCGGGATTCTTTTTGACATCATTTTCATGTCATACCATTCGTGGAATAGTCTAAACCAGGGGTGAGCAATATTTAAAAGAAGAGGCATTTTTTTGTCTTTGAACAAAATTGTTTGAGAGCCGCATCACGCGCAAAGCCACTTGTACACAAACACAGCAGCTGGTATACAGCAGATGACAACAACAACTCATTCTGACTTAATAAACAACATAGGCGATGGAATAAACTGCGTCTAATTAGTTTTTTTCCCCTCTGACTTATTCTTTAACAATACAGTTTGTACATTTTGTTGTCACCAAAACATTCCATAGTGACCCCATTCACCTGCCATATAAAAAAAAAAGATTTTAACGTTCAATTATGTTTTAGATTAAACCATAGAGCTGCATGTGGCTCCGGAGAGGCAGGTTGCCAATCCCTGGTCTAACTGATGATCGGTAGAGAAATTAATTACTTAAATAACACTGGCCAACAAAAAAAACATTTTTTTCTGACCTGGACTTTTGCAGCTGTTTTAAACTAATTTCAGGGTGCTGATTCCAAATCTGATCTCAGATTTGCTCTATCACATCACTTAAGATTGCAAGTTGTTGCGAGTCAGTGACTGCTTTAGTGTTAAAATATGGTGCTGTATTTTTTGGATAGTGTGTTTATAATATAATTTTATGTAGATATCCACATTTATTTAATATTTTTCTTCTGCAGTTTTTATTGAAAATGCAATATTTGATATCTCAAAAACCTGATGTGATAGACAAAAACAGATTTGGAATCAGCACCCCAAAATTACCTTAAAACCGTTGGAATACCTTATGCCAGAATAAGTGTGTTGACCAGTGTAATTGGACCTCCCAGCTCTGCTTGTGATCCACACTGAGCCCAGAGGGGAGAGTCTCTCTAAAAAAACCCAGACGGGACCCACCTGATCGCACCCTCAACCCCGTTCCCTCCTCGCGTTGAGCCGCAGCAGCAGCAGCAGCGTCCCGCGCCGGGCTGGGCTGCCGGGATGAAGAGCGACCCCCCGCCCTGCGCCCACGGTGCCGCCGCCACCGGCGAGGCCTCGGCGGTGGCGCCTCAGCTGGTGGTGACGCCGCTCAACACCAGGCGGCTGCAGCCGTACCGTCTCGCCACCAGCAGGGCCGAGGTGAGCGTCGACTTGTTGTCCTCTTTGCCTGCGACGGTTCATACCGCCCGGTCTAAGCCTGCTGGTGAATTGTCACGATCCTTCTGATGTATTTAGTTTGTTTTCCCCCATGGCTTCGGCTCTCCGATTTCACATTAACAGGTTGATTTGTCGCGCCAACGTGGCCACCTACGGACGTTGACCTCTACGTGGCTCTGCGATCTCCCATTAACATGCTAATCTCTCACATTAACATGCTAATCTCTCACATTAACATGCTAATCTCTCACATTAACATGCTAGTCTCTCACATTAACATACTAATCTCTCACATTAACATGCTAGTCTCTCACATTAACATACTAATCTCTCACATTAACATGCTAGTCTCTCACATTAACATACTAATCTCTCACATTAACATGCTAGTCTCTCACATTAACATGCTAGTCTCTCACATTAACATGCTAGTCTCTCACATTAACATCACTAGCCCCGCCCACTCCGTTCATGACCCTAGGACAACACCCGATGAAACAGTCTGAATTCAGCAGCCTTCCTGCCCTCTTTCCTCCTGATAACGATCGCTTGTGTTGTGATCGAAACCTCCTGGTTTTTTGTTTATTTTACATTTATTATTTTTTATTAATTTGTACCTATCTACGTGACTTTACCAAAAGACCCAAAGAATATGAATTCCTGCATTCACGAAAGCTTTAAGTCAAGATATCTAACTCTTGTTGATTGTGAGTCCCCAGTTCACGTGGACCCGCCTCCCATTGGGCCTGCTGAGATATACAGCTCTATGCCTGACTATTTACGTCCTATGAAGCAGAGATTTTGCAATCAAACGTCACTTTATGTACTTTTTCCTTAAATGGTCGGACGTTATTGTTGACAAATGCTTTCCGTTTTTGTTGTTATTTGTGCTCGTGCACCGCTCTGCCAATGTGGCATCGCCACGTAATCTGTTCATGCGTGGAACAGGTGAGCATTACCTGCGCAGGGGAAGTCTGCATGCAGTTTCTGAAGAGGAAGGAACAAAACGTGTGCGTTTACGAAATACACTGGATTTCGCCGGATGGGAGACAGGTGAGAGATGTTCAACTCGAGGTGGCCGGGTGACTCGGGGGGGTCTCAGGGCACTGAAGATGGCACCGCTGAATCCTCTGCGGCAGCTGCCACGGTGGCGAGATGTTGGCTACCTCACCCAGTATGCAGGAGGTTGTGGGTTCGATCCCTGACCTGACGACTGTTGGAAATTTGGTTTTTCCCTCTGCATTTAAAAACATTTTTTTTACAGTATTTGGCTGCTAAAAAAATTCCACGTGATAATCCACTGAGTTGAGCTATCATTTGTGGCCAGATCGCTTCCGAAAAAGAGCTAGATAGCCTAAGTGGGCCTTACCTGGTGAAATAAAAAAATGGTTTAGTTAAATAGTGATTAAACCGGGTTCTTAATAATAAAGCTTTTTGGGTTAGATCGTGTAAGTAGAAATGTTGTTAACCCATCACCAGCCGACACAGCCAATTAATAAGGTTTGTCACGTGAACAAAACATGCCAATTCGTTACTAGTTCAGCACATTGGTGTGTTGTTAAGCATTCAAATGCTCCATTACAATTCTTTACTCACCAATATACACCAGTATATTGGAGAGTAAACCCACAACATTTACAATTTATATGATGACATTAAACCCCCCTCTGATCTTCGCACCTGATAGGCACACAGTGATGACATCACCTTTACTCTATTTAAGACCGAAAGCCAGAAGACTTCCTCATAATCCTGGCAAATCGCTTGATGAAGCACGTTGTAATCACTAGCAAAGAGGCGTTGTACTAAAATTGTAAATGTTGTGGGTTTACTCTCCAACGAGCGGTGGCACACCGGTTAGCGCGCTGCACTACGAACCCGGCGACTCGAATTCGATTCCCGCTCACGGCCGACATCAGTGATGATTATCTGAACCGGTTTTGGGCCTCCCCTCGGTCGACTCAGCCTCAAATGAGTACCTGGTGCGGTGTGTAAACATCGCCACAACGGAGACAATGGCGGCCGGGCGCGGTGCTGGCCACCCACCCCCTCGTGTGCCATGCTGGCCTTCATAGGTGCTGCTCACTAACAGCAATTGCCCCTACAGTCTGTTATAGGCTATACGGGGGATCTTTGTCTTTGTATTCCTCCCCCCCCCACCTTCGCTCATCTGCACAGATCATCGTGGTGAAGTACGGTCATGTATCCCTCACGACGCGCAAGGCATGGGGGCGAGATATTCACAGCTGGCAGTGGATTGACGAAACGGACTGCGCGCGTCCGTTCATTTGAGTTCGCCTGATTTAGAGCCCGATTGACTTTGTCTTTAATTGTGAAGCATCGTCGGGGTGATGCTCTGCATGAAGAGCGCTATCAGCAGGCACACGCACGCACGGTGTTTGTGTTGCAGGTGTGGATTTGCCAGCCGCCCGATGGCACGTCACCGGCGGAGGAGCCACTTTGCAGCCGCGACTCGGCCGTCAGCTACAGCCTGGACAAGCTGCCAGGTGAGGCAGGGCTGGGACACTGTGGCCAGCCACGATTGTGGCGAGATGTTAACTAACTCGCCTGGTATGCTGGAGATCGTGGGTTCGATCCCGACCCTGATGATGCCTGCTGTACATTTGGAGTTTGTGTGTTCTCTCTCTCTCTCTCCCCGTGGTCATGTGGATTTTTCTCCGGGTCCTCCAGTTTTTCCCATCTACATTTAGAATCAACATCACGCGTTTAGACTATTTGGCTGCTATACATTTACACGTGATGATAAGACACTTCGTTGGTCTATGTTTTGTGGCCAGGTTGCTTCTGAAAAAGAACTACAGAGCTTAGTGGGTCTTACCTGATAAAATAAAAAATTGTTTATAGTTTGATGTCTGATGCATGTTTTTGGGTCGTGCCGTGCGCCAATTTGCACGGTATCCTCTCAAAGTGTGTCCAGGCGTCCTGCTGACCACCCACCCCCTCGTGTGCCGTGTCGGCCTGAATTGGTGCTCGCTAACAGCCTTCGCCCCAACAGTCTGTTCAAGGCTACAGCGGAGGGATCTTTGTCTTCTCTGCGCCGCTAGGACAGGGTGCTACTGGCCTTAATAGGTGCTCGCTTACAGCCTTCGCCCCAACAGTCTGTTCAAGGCTACAGCGGAGGGATCTTTGTCTTCTCTGCGCCGCTAGGACAGGGTGCTACTGGCCTTAATAGGTGCTCGCTTACAGCCGTTGCTCCAACTGTCTGTTGAAGGCTACAGGAGGGATTTTTGTCTCCTCTGTGCCGCTGGGACAGGGCGCTACTGGCGCAAGTACTGCTACGCGTCGCGATTCGTGGCTCTGGTGCGCTCCAAGACGCCCAAGGTGACGCTGAGCTCGGACGACGCACGCTTCTCGCTCATGGACAACGGCCCCCCCGGCGATCTGGAAGCGCGCTTCCACGACGGTGAGCGGACGGCAGCGGTAAACCACGGGCCGGCCGAAAAAACTCGGATTCGAACCCAGGATCCCAGACGGTGCCAGCCCAGCGCTCTGACTGTTGATGCATTAACTAAACTATAAACTATTTTTTATTTTACCAGGTAAGGCCCACTGAGCTGCTATATATCTCTTTTTCAGAAGTGACCTGGCTATCACAAACGATAGCTCAACGAAGTGGCTCATCACGTGGAAATGTATAGCAGGCAAATGCTCTAAACGCATGTTTCTAAATGTGGAGGGAAAGACTGGAGGGCCTGGGGAAAAATCCACACGACCACGGGAAGAGAACACGCACACTTCAAATATAGAGGCGTCAAGGTCGGGATCGAACCCACGACATTATTATTATTTGGCATTTCACAAATCGTTGCAATTTTAATACATTTTTGGTGTGTATTCCCAAATGTGCGGAAGCTTCGCACAGTTGCGTGGTTGACGATGTGACCTGGTTCAAGGAATTACATTTTGGGGCCCCCCACTGTGCAATTTCCACCGCTCTCCATAGCCCCCACGCCTGGGCACCGGTGCAGTTGGACTGCCCGCGCACGTGATGGCCGTGCCGCTGGCTACACGGACGCAAAATACAACGAGGCAGTCATGCTGGAAGACACATCTTCCCTCCCTCCGCCAAATTATATTCTAATCGTGCTCTTGGCATCATGTCGTGAGATCGTAATGTCGTGAGATAAGGATATTTGAATTAGGGACTTTGGCAGGAGGCAGTGTGACATTGCCCCAATTTAGGGAATAGTTTCTTGACGTGGACATGAGAGAACTACTTCTGAGGTCCCTTCATTTTTTGTTTCTTCCACCGATGTACATTCTCACGACTGCCAGTACGCATTTGATGCAAGGCAAACCGAACATATTTCAATGCAAAGTGATGATGATGATGATGAAATCGAATCCCTGGCTCCATTTGGAATTGGCGCTGTTGATCTGAAAGCACAAGGCTATCATCACAAAAAAAAGCCCTGCTGCGTCTCGCAGACACGTCTCGCCACCGTTACGCTCCCAGAGAAGATGTGTCTGTGTGCAAGCTTCTAAACGTATTGAAGACCGCACCTGTGATGTCCAACAAAAGGTTAGAGGGCAATTGAGTTGGGCGGTTGACCATAGACCTTCACTGCAGTTTTGCAGAAGGTAAGCGACGTTTTCTCCGTGTCATCCCAATCAAAGAATTTGTGGTTTAATCATCGGTGTTGCCAGCGCCGCGCCTGGCTGCATGTATCTCCCCAGTGCTGACCTGCGCGTTCTGTCCTCCAGGGGTCAAGGTTCTCATCACGAACGGCTTCGTGAGCGTGACGGACGCATCCGGACTCACCCGCACCTTCCAGTCTCCCTGCGACGCGTCCCAGCCGGACGGTGGAGGTGGCGGCGGCGGCGCTACGGGCGCCTACGTCCGGCGGTCCCTGCAGGTGTGAAGGAAGGCCGCGGCGCGACTTTGTGTTGTCACAAAGACAAAGATCCCCTGTGTAGCCTTGACATACTGTTGGGGCAAGTGCTGTTAGCGAGCAGCACCTATGAAGGCCAGCACTGTGACACACAAGGGGTTTGGTGGACAGAACCAGGCCCTGCTGCCTTTGTCTCCCCAGTGGCGATGTTTACGACACACCGTACCGGGTACTCATTTGAGGTTGAGTCGACCTAGGGGAGGCCCAGGACCAGTCCACCACGACCACTTGCAACGTCGTCTCATGGCCAGGGCGCTCGACCAGTCGAACGAGCGGCTCGCAATCGAAAGGTCACAAGGTCACATCCCCTTTGGGAGTTGACTTGGCTCATCACCCCTCTGTCTGGGGGTCGATTATAATGTGAGTGCCACTTTGTGGGGAAGTTAACTGTGGTTCTATGGAGAAAAAAAAACTTTTCCCCACCATAGGAATGTGGAATTTCCATCACTGGCTCAGGGGCTGTAGATGGGAAAACGAGCATTGTCCCGATGTTCATCATTTGAGCAGCAAATCACTTTGACTTTGATGGAAGTGCATTAGAACCTCTCTAAACGACAACCCTGGTTAATGACTAATCGCTTAATGACGGGCCTCCATGGAGCCCAATATGTAGTGTACTATACACTACTAAGTGTATAGTAGTGTATTGTACAGTAGTGTAGTGTATAGTGTAGTGTATAGTAGTGTATAGTAGTGTAGTGTATAGTGTAGTGTATAGTGTAGTGTATAGTAGTGTATAGTAGTGTAGTGTATAGTAGTGTATAGTGTAGTGTATAGTAGTGTATAGTAGTGTAGTGTATAGTAGTGTAGTGTATAGTAGTGTAGTGTATAGTGTAGTGTATAGTAGTGTAGTGTATAGTGTAGTGTATAGTAGTGTATAGTAGTGTAGTGTATAGTAGTGTATAGTGTAGTGTATAGTAGTGTATAGTAGTGTAGTGTATAGTGTAGTGTATAGTGTAGTGTATAGTAGTGTATAGTAGTGTAGTGTATAGTAGTGTATAGTAGTGTAGTGTATAGTAGTAGTGTAGTGTATAGTAGTGTAGTGTATAGTGTAGTGTATAGTGTAGTGTATAGTAGTGTAGTGTATAGTGTAGTGTATAGTAGTGTAGTGTATAGTAGTGTATAGTAGTGTAGTGTATAGTAGTGTAGTGTATAGTGTAGTGTATAGTAGTGTAGTGTATAGTAGTAGTGTAGTGTATAGTAGTGTAGTGTATAGTAGTGTATAGTAGTGTATAGTGTAGTGTATAGTAGTGTAGTGTATAGTGTAGAGTATAGTAGTGCATAGTGTAGTGTATAGTAGTGTATAGTAGTGTATAGTAGTGTAGTGTATAGTAGTGTAGTGTATAGTGTAGTGTATAGTAGTGTATAGTCGTGTAGTGTATAGTGTAGTGTATAGTAGTGTAGTGTATAGTGTAGAGTATAGTAGTGCATAGTGTAGTGTATAGTAGTGTATAGTGTAGTGTATAGTAGTGTATAGTAGTTTAGTGTATAGTAGTGTCGTGTATAGTGTAGTGTATAGTAGTGTAGTGTATAGTGTAGTGTATAGTAGTGTATAGTAGTGTATAGTAGTATAGTGTATAGTGTAGTGTATAGTAGTGTATAGTAGTGTATAGTAGTGTAGTGTATAGTGTAGTGTATAGTAGTGTAGTGTATAGTGTAGAGTATAGTAGTGCATAGTGTAGTGTATAGTAGTGTATAGTAGTGTATAGTAGTGTAGTGTATAGTAGTGTAGTGTATAGTGTAGTGTATAGTAGTGTATAGTAGTGTAGTGTATAGTGTAGTGTATAGTGTAGTGTATAGTAGTGTAGTGTATAGTGTAGAGTATAGTAGTGCATAGTGTAGTGTATAGTAGTGTATAGTGTAGTGTATAGTAGTGTAGTGTATAGTGTAGTGTATAGTAGTGTAGTGTATAGTGTAGTGTATAGTGTAGTGTATAGTAGTGTATAGTAGTGTAGTGTATAGTAGTGTCGTGTATAGTGTAGTGTATAGTAGTGTAGTGTATAGTGTAGTGTATAGTAGTGTATAGTAGTGTATAGTAGTATAGTGTATAGTGTAGTGTATAGTAGTGTATAGTAGTGTATAGTGTAGTGTATAGTGTAGTGTATAGTAGTGTAGTGTATAGTAGTATAGTGTATAGCAGTGTATAGTGTAGTGTATAGTAGTGTATAGTGTAGTGTATAGTGTAGTATATAGTAGTGTATAGTAGTGTAGTGTATAGTGTAGTGTATAGTGTAGTGTATAGTAGTGTATAGTGTAGTGTATAGTAGTGTATAGTAGTGTATAGTGTAGTGTATAGTGTAGTGTATAGTAGTGTATAGTAGTGTAGTGTATAGTAGTGTAGTGTATAGTGTAGTGTATAGTAGTGTATAGTAGTGTAGTGTATAGTAGTGTATAGTGTAGTGTATAGTAGTGTATAGTGTAGTGTATAGTGTAGTGTATAGTGTAGTGTATAGTAGTGTATAGTAGTGTAGTGCCTTCATAGCGCCCAATGTGTTAGTTTACCGACCATTCCCCTGTTAACGACGGGCTGTTGTAGGTACAGTAAATATTAATTAATGCATTGATTAGCCATGTTTCCTTTAATGTGTTTATAAAGTTGTTAGTATCTTTATTTATTAATATCCATTGTTTAGCTATTATAAAGTAAGTTTTTTGGGTGAAAAGGGTAACTTTCGACGCTATCGGAACGAATTAAGTCTTTAACATGTGTTTCCTAAACTCGCTTAACCACCAAATCACTTAACAACCGGTTTCATGGAACCAATTACCATCGTTAAGAGGCATTCTACTGGTCGAGAAATTCAGTCTTGAGGCTACCATGGACCCACTTGTTGTACTGCCATAACACGACCACACAACACTTGGGTTCTTACATCTCTTGGGAGCTTCGAGTGTGGCTTTATTTCAAGATCCCCCCCCGGTTTACTGCCAAATGCCACACCAACTATTTAAGATTTAGTTATTTTACCAGGTAAGGCCCACTGGGGATATATAGATATTTTTCAGAAGCGACCTGGCGATCACAAATTATAGCTCAACGAAGTGGCTTATCATCATGTGGACATTTATATCTGTCAAATACTCTAAATGCACGTTGATTATAAACATGGAGGGAAAAACCGGAGGACCCGGAGAAAAATACACGCGACCACGGGGAGAGAGAGACACGCAAACTCCAAATATACAGCAGTCGTCAGGGTCGGGATCGAACCCACGACCACCTGCATACCAGGCGAGGGAGTTAACATCTCCTAGCCACCACGGAGCCACACACTCGTGAACAGAATTGGCCAACCATTCCGGAGTGGCGTTGACGCGCAGTGAGGATTATTATTCCTCACAGCTTCGCAGATTTGTGAGTTTCACAAATCTCTAAGTGACCCATCAACTGTTGCATCCAAAGACTTGGTTATAAGCATGCGCTAACACCACCTCATCATCGTCATCACGATCCATGGGCAGATAGCCCCGTAGTAGTAGAAGTAGGTGTCCACTGCACATTTCGTCATTTGTTTCCACTTTCCTCTCTGCCTCATAGTGCCAATATGCTCAAGTCGTGGCAACGTCTTCTGACACCATTCTCTGATGTCGTCATCTGTTAGCTCTCTCTTCGGTTCCTTCCATTTGTTTCTGAACAACACACGATACATTTTCCTGTTGTTGTTGTTGTTGTTGTCCATCCTACGTAAGTGTCCAAATAGTGCCAGTTTCCTTCTCATCACTGCTGGCATCATCATCAGGCTGTCTTCTTCAACGTGCGACCTTTTTCTCACTTCTACGTTGGTCACTCTTGGGGTCCAGCTTAGATGCGGCATCCTTCTGTGGCGATACATTTAGAGTGCCAACATCGTACCCCTGTCGGTCTTTTTCAATGTCCAAGTCTCGCACGCACATTCTTAAGATGTTCAAATTGGTCTTGTAGCTGATTTTCTTGCTTCTCCACATGCGTGCAAATCAAAGCTATCAAAGGTGCCGTTTTGATTAGGACAAGTCCCACGTTTCATGAAGGCTGCGGCGAATTCCTAAAGTATCTGTCCTGGATTTAGTCATTTGTTCCTGCAGGATTGGCCAATGATATGGGCAAAGGGCAGGGCTAGTGGTTGAGTGGGCGTGGCTTTGTAAAAGTTGGCGGGGTTGACCCATGTATGAATTACCCGTGTAGTTGCGATAGTTAAATTACAATGTGCAATTTTATTGAGTGACTACTGCTGTGTTGTCTTGGTGTGGTCTGAGACTGCTTTTTATGTTGTTTTGCTGCCTTGTCCAAGCTTGAGAATTGGTTTACTTCTGCAATTAAAATGTATATATTTTATTGATTGAACGTGTTTATTTTCAGTGATTTTCTGACCTTTTTTTACTGTACACTCTATCGTGGTTTTTTCGTACTGTTTGTTGCTGTAACTTTCTGAGCCGCCCGCACTGTTCGATTAACTTCGTAGCTCATCGGATTCCTCTCCATTATAAATAAACATTCTGATTTTGAAAAGGGGGTGGCCAGGTTATCAGCTCAACGCGCATGCTCCGGTGGAGCCTACCAGGAACGTGGCGACCCTAAATCCAGAGCGGATACCTCAGCGCACGAGTGTCCGTGCACGTCGCATTGATTAAACGAGCTCGCTCGCTGCTGCTGCTGCTCCCCGCAGGCGTGGCAGCAGTGCCTGCAGCTCGAGGAAATAATCTCCCTGCAGGAGCAGAGCAGCGGCTCGGGCGCCAGCTTCTTCCCAGCGTCCGTCAGCCGGTACGTTCTGCGCACGAATGAACGGTCGGACAGACGGATGTACAGACAGACGGACATATGTACGAACGGACATACGGACGGACATACGTAAGGATGGACGGACATACGTACGTACAGACGGACTTACGGACATACGTACGGACGGATGGCCAGACGTACAGACATACGTACGGATGGACATATGGACATACATACAGACGGACGTACGTATGGACATATGTACGGACGTATGAACATGCGTACCGACGGATGGACATACAGACGTACGTACGGATGGACGGAGCGTCGTCGCTCACTCAGCCTGCCTCCGCGACGCGGCACTCTGGCGCTGAATCTCATTCCAAGTAAGCATTTATTTTTTAAATGTCATTATCAAAAATTGGCTGACAAAAAGGGGAAGGTCGTGGTGCTCCGGCGATGGGGGTTGAAAAGAAACGTATGGGCGCCGCGGTGGCTAGATGTTAACTACCTCGCCTGGTATACAGGAGGTCGTGGGTTCGATCTGGACCCTGACGCCTGCTGTATATTTGGAGTTTGCGTGTCTCTCTCTCTCTCTGTGGTCACGTGGATTTTTCTCCGGTTCCTTCAGTTTTTCCCTCCACATTTAGAATCAACGTCACGCATTTAGAGTTGTTTGGGTGCTGCATATAAATGTCCACGTGATGACAAGCCACTTCGTTGAGCTAGCATTTGGATGGCCAGGTCGCTTCTGAAAAAGAGCTCCATAGCCTCTCAGTGGGGCCTTACATCTGGTCAAATTAAATAAAAAATAGTTTAATTGAATTTTTTAAATAGTAGCGCAAAGGCCATTGCGACGAATTACGAAGAATTAAGGTAATAACTTTCCACACACTATTATTGCACTTTAGATTTGATCGGCAGTTGATTCAATCATCCCATTTGTATTCATATCCATAAAAAGTTGCATATCCATACCTGTCAACCCATACGGTTTACCGATATGCTTGTACAGGGAAATTTAGTTTTCAGGTCCATACGGTGTAAAGCTGTTTCAATACGGGAATCTTTTTTTGTCTATTTGTTTGTGTTTCTCCCTTGTGATGGGACTTTGTAGGATGAACGTTGAGATTTATAAGGGCACGGGGTGACCAATAAGGTCGGAATTGGTCTGTAATATGGTAGGCACTGATAAGGGGTTGACAAGTATGCATATCGGACCCTTGGTCAGGAACGTAACCCGCCTGCTATGCCATTGTTTCTCTGGGCAAATCGGTCTCGACTCATGCCGTTTCGACCCATGGCACCTTTCTAGGAACGTAACCCCCACGTAGGTCCCGGGACCGCGTGAAATTGGGAATGTAAAGTATAGTTCTGTACGTACAAGCCGATGATCACGATCGCCTGGAGATTTCCATAGGCCCCGTCATAGACCCTGGAAGCTGAGCAGGGATAGGCCTGGATAGTACCTGGAAGGGCGACAAGAAACAGGTGCAGGAGGCCTAGTGGGCATATCGGCAACATCCATTGTTGGCCTGGCCAATGCGGTGAAGTATGGTCGAATCGCCCTTACTGCCGGCACAGCATCGGGAAATCAACTCGTCGAGCAGTGGATTGACAAACATGCTTGGTGTAAGAACAGGTCTTGCCCTTTTTGGCAATACAACAGAGGGTGTTAAGATGTGCAAACACCAAAATAGCTACTTTTGTATGGAACGAAACCTGCATTAACCACACGTACTTGTGGCAAACAAACGTGCTCTGATAATAATGTCTGCATTGTCTTTGAAAGTGATTGGCCTACACCAGAGACAGCAGCCTTATTACACGCTTTTTATTAACTCACTCTGCCTGTTGTTGTATCCTCAAATCTTCTAACTTAATTTTAACCCACTTCCCAATATGGTATCAACTGCAAACTTGGTATACTTATGTCATACTAATGACAATACTATATTCTAGAATTTAAATTTTTAAACATATATTTTAAAACATTCTTTTTTACATGTTATGTTTCGGCTTGGGTCTAATTGTCCACGGTCAATTGACGTTGGCTGTAAACCACCACGGTCCCTTACGTTATGGCAAGCTTCGGGACCACTTCCTAGAGTCGTGGAGCTATTCCATTGCTAGTACGGTACATTTCCTTAAAGCGTGTTTTTAAAAAAGTGTTTTTAAATCTTACTTATTATGGCCTAGTCTCACCACCAGTGTTAGAACAGAGAACACCAAAAGGCAAACAGTACACAGACAATGCAAGTATCAGAACATGTATATCTGGGGTGGAGCAGTTATATCTATGGGATAATTTTGCCAGTATCCAAAATTATGAAAAAAAAAAATCGGTTTTACCCTTTCTGGCAATAAAATAGGTGTTAAGATGTTCAAACACCAAAATAGAAACCTATTGCAAGATATCAAGTCTGTATTCACCACACACATTTGTGGCAAAACATGCAAACAAACGTGCCCTGATAATGGCATGTACACGTATACAAACAAAAATCAGGGTTTCTAAACTGCAGTTGGAGCGCACTGCGACAGGTGTGGGGCGTCTCACTCAAAAGGTGACGGCGACACGTTTTCCGTCCAATGGAGGGAAACGATGGAACCAGTGACAGGAACTGGGACTAATGAACATCGGCCCCAGGCATTCGTAAGCACACCGGCACACATTTGGGCTGTGTGCAATACGTTGTTTTTGTATCAATTAGTTTTCTGTGCGGCAAACTGTATACGAGCTAGATTTGCGATGTGACGCACTCGCGTGATTTTGCCGTGCGACACTCATTGGCTGATTTGGGCTGGATCCAAAATACAAATGGGGTGCCGGTGAGGAAGAATCATTGGCGCTGTCGAATATGGAACTTGATACCAACTGAGACTGTAAATAAGCAATGAAACGTACAAATTAGAGGTAAAAGTGTAAGAAAAAAAATACTCTGATCACATTTGCAATTTCCCAACACAGCCCTCAGAATGGACCAAACCTACCGGGCATTTGCCATACGGACCGCTGCCCTAACGACCAGTGGCACGGTGGTTAGCGCACTGAGGCTGTAAACTCAGGCGACTTGATCTCGATTCAAGCTACGTCCGAAAAACTGGTTCTCTCTTAACTGGCGGCATGGGGTGGAGGGTGGGGGGAGTCTTAATCCAGCAGTGGATTGACAAAGGGCTGTCATGTATTTATTATTTAATTTTCCACCAACTCCGACCTCTAGTGGTAATGTTTGCTCGGTCAACGTTACTTTTGTTTGGCTTCCCAAGAACCTGACCGAAACAGAAGGGTTGATGATGGGCGATGAAAGATATCTATGTTACATTTTTGTTGTGCTGGAAATATGGGTTATGATAACAAACGAAACTAAACTATTTTTTGCTTTACCAGGTAAGGCCCCACTGAGCTATGTAGCAGGAGCGACCTGGCCACAAATGATAGCTCAACGAAGTGGCTTATCATGTGGAAATTGATAGCAGCTAAATACTCTAAACGCGTGATGTTGATTCTAAATTTGGAGGGAAGAACCGGAGGGCCTGGAGCAAATCCACGCGACCACGGGGAGAACACGTAAACTTCAAATATACAGGCGTCAGGGTCGGGATTGAACCCACGACCTCCTGTATACCGGGCGACGGAGTGAACATCTCCTAGCCACCGCGGTGCCCCCAATGCAATGGCTGATGTAAACCGGTTTCGTTGGTATGTGTGTGTTTTGGTTGGGGGGGGCGGTAGCGTAGTGGTTGGCGTGCTGCACTGTGAACCCGGCGACCCTGTCTCAGCTCAGCATTAAATGAGTACCTGGTGCGGTGTGTAAACATCAGCACTGGGGAATAAAAGCGGCCGGACGTGGTGCTGGCCACCCACTCAACCCCGTGTGCCGTGCCGGCCGTAGGCGCTCGCGAACAGCACTTGCCCCAACAGTCTGGTCAAGGCTATGTGGGGGAACTTTGTATTTGTGTGTGTCTGTGTTCGTAGGCCATCTGTGGTGAACACCGAGCTGCAGTCCAGACCAGCGTTGGATGGGAATGCCCTGGAATTGGGATTGGCCCAAGCGAATATATAGCATTGCCTGCATTGCGGGCAAGTGGCTCACTTGAGCTAGTCATTTTCCGTTCAGTCGATGGTCTGATTTTAACCCTTTCCATTCCGATGACGTACATGCATGTCATTAAAAACTGTTTTCCTTCCGATTTGGAAGGAAATCTAAAATAAGATAACTTTATCGGTACCGAAGCTCCCACACGGCCATGCGGGAGAGCGTGTGGCACAGTTTGGCGCCAGCTATCGTAGAGTGTGGTCGTGTGGCTACGGTTCTCTGCGGTGAGTACGATGCCTTTAAAAACAACGGCGCTGCTATTACGCCTCTCTAAGTAAAATCAGCGCTGAACGGCTCGCGCATTCCGACTCTCGGTGGTGAACGGGACACCACACACCCTGCAACTTACAGACGTCTCGGAACGGGGAAAGGGGTGAACTTACGGTTGCTGTCCAGTAATTTTGAAGGGAGCATTCATTACCAAAAGCACATTAGCAATCACGTGGTAGGCAAATGCACTAAATAGAGCCGGGCGGCCTGGTGGGCCGGCTTAGGCCGTTTCTTTCGCTATTGTCGGATGTAAACGATCTGCGGCAAAGGAAACTGAGTGCGTTGATGAAAATAAATATTCATGTGCACGTCACATAGGGGTCATAGCACATTGAAAGAGTTCATCTAACAATGGAGCCGCCTTGACTATGCATTGCTTGAGTGTACGGGAATACGCCAAAGATATTTTTCGAAATTACAATCATGGGTGATGTGAAGGGCTTTGGTGTTGTCTTGTAAAAGTTAACTCTGTGCATTCTCATTAAAAAAAACATTTTTCCTTAAATGTCTGAAGCCGACGAACCAATTAAGTTAACTGTCGCCTTTTATCGGACATTACGGTTCCATTTTTCAGTCGGATCAGAAGCTTGCACACAGATACATATTTTGCAGGCGTTTAACAAACTTAATAACTAGAAATTGTGTCTCATAGCATAATCAATACTAGCAATTATGTTTTTTTTTATAAAATAATCGCTGCTATTAAGTTTGTATGTGTCTTTTATTTTTAAAGCTGTAATAGCGGAATCCTTTGATGATGTCGCCTGGCGGCCGCGTTGCCCCTTTTTAAAAAGCTTCTTAGCTCTACGGGTTTTACTCGGTGGGAAATACACTTCTTCTGATTCTGAAACGAGGTGTAACCAAACAGATGTTAGTAGACAAACGTGAGTGATCATGAAATGAAAAGGCAATATCGCTCGAAATCCCACAAAGTGCCTTAATGATGGGGGGAGAAATTAAACGCTCACGCACGGTGCTTTAATTTAATAAAATATTTGCTGACGCAGCAACAATTATAATTCCCATATGTACACGATGACGTTTGAGTCCTGTACGTACAGCACTACAGCATAGAAGAATGCATAGAGACGTGTATGCAGATTCGGCTATGTACGGTGCAAAAGAAGTTCAACATACATACATTCATACAGGTGAATAGTTGAAAAGGTTGGATTTGTATGTGTGTATGTATGTTGAACGTCTTTCGCACCGTACATACCCAACCGTGATAATCGGAGGTGTGGGATTTGTGAGGAAAATGAAAGTTGCGCCGTGCGAAAATAGCAAACAAGGACGGGACTTAGAATGAAGCCGGTGTCAATTTTCACGATGGAAAACATCGCCCTGTGCGTAAAGACGTTTGGAGTTTTCTAGAAGTTGACGGTTGTGGGCAGCTAATTATATATCTGTTGCATATGCAATTAAAGTAAACAGCAGCATGTACATTGCACACTGGTGAAAGTGTTGAATCAGCTGCGCAGTACAGTACTTATACTTAATTGGATCTTGGCCACACTTCTGGAAAGATCAAAAATAAAAATGTCATGCCAAGAGCAATAATTATGAATTAAATGTGTGCGTGTGATGTGCTGGTTGTGACTTGCATTATTTTTTTACTTTTGCTTTGAATTACATGTACTGTGTGTGTGTATATAGTGTTATATTTGTGTGTATCATGTACCGCAACACAATAAAATACAAGTTATAAAACCGTGGATGTGTATATGTGCTCATTACTAACGTGGCATCAACAGATATTTGTCTAAACTAAAACTAAACTATGTTTTAAATTTTACCAGGTAACTACCTCGCCTGGTATACAAAAGTTTGTGAGTTCGTTCCCGACCCTGACGATGCATGCTTCTGTATATTTGTAGTCTGCGTCTCTCATCATCATCATCATCACGGTGGCTAGGAGATGTTAACTACCTCGCCTGGTATACAGGAGGTCGTGGGTTCGATCCCGACCCTGATGCCTGCATATTTGAAGTTTGCGTGTTCTCCCCGTGGTCGCGAGGATTTTTCTTCAGGCCATCCGCTTTTCTCTCCACACTTAGAAACATGCGTTTAGAGCATTTGGCTGCAATAAATTTCCACGTGATGAGCCAGCTTCATTGAGCTATCATTTTCGTCCAGGTCGCTTCTGAAAAAATAAAATCTATATCGCTCAGTAAGCCTTACCTGGTAAAATAAAAACAATCTTTAGTTCATAATTTAATTGAGGGACCTTGCCCAAGAGGGCATACACTACGAAGACTAACGTACGGTATGTACGTTGAACTTCTTTCGCACCGTACGTAGCGAAGCGTGCTAATCGGAGGTGCGGCGGAAAGACAACAAACTGAACACAAAAGGCAGTTCTAAAGAAACGAGTCTTCAATGTAGAATTAAAAGTGCATCGCTCCAAGTGCATCCAAAAACTGTGATTGAAGCCTTATCTTTTTAAATTCAGGATGGAATTTACTCATGCTCCTCGTGTATTTTTTTTTTCTACACTTTCCATTGTTTAACAATAACGCCCGGACTATAATAATAGGGTTTTTCCACTTTTTTCTGGCAACAAAACTGAAACCTTTTTACGAGGAATCATGTCTGCATTAACCACAATACTTGTGGTCAAAATGCAAACAAAAAACACACTATGATAATATATGCATCGTCCTTGAAACTGATTGGTCCACTCCAGAGACGGCTTTCTTTTGAGCCTCGTCTCAATTGGTGCGAGACTGGTAATGGCAAAGGAGGTCTAATGATGTAAACGCCCGGACTGTTCACACGTAAAAACAAATGAACATTCGATTCGGCGTGCGTTTTTTTTCGCAGGTGTCCAAGCAGCTCTGGGTTTGATTGTTGCGATTGCGGAACAGCGCAAGGTTTTTGCCCACCCCCCACCCACCCCTACCACCGTGGCTCACGTTGGTGATCGAGTGCAGGCAGGGCGGACTGCCCTGGGACCCCCCCCCCCCCCCACGGACTGGAGGGGGCCAAGGCGGCGGCGGCGGCTTCAGGGTGGGAGGGAAATTGAACCGGAGGAGGAGGGGAGCGTCTCGCCCAATTTCATCGCTTGCATCAGGGCCCACTGTCTTTTTTAAATCCTTTATATTAAGTTCGCTTGCTTGCGTGCGTGCTTGCTTATTAAATCCTTTATATTAAGTTTGCTTGCTTGCGTGCTTGCTTGCTTGCTTACGACCGTGCAAATCTTTCGGTCGTTTTTTAACCCACTTCCCGTGATCCAATCGAGCTGACATTTTGCACACAGACTCGTTGTGCGAGACAATTAATTTGCGTGAAAAATTTTTTCCAAAATGTTACACTGTTTAGGGAAAAATAAATAACTATTTAATTACCAATTGCTTAATGCTGGCAGACAATCATCTGACCGATAGATGGCAGCCATCTCAAGCCAGCGGACGAGAGGACTCTAGCCGCCACGCATATAAAGGATTTAGAGTGAAAATTTTTGTTTTTACGGGTTAATTTTTTACACGCTTTCTTTGAACTCACTCTGTTGTTGTTGTCGTTGTATCCTCAAATCTTGTAACTCAATTTTAACCCACTTCCCAATGTGGTATCGACTGCAAACTTGGTATACTTATGGCACACTGATGACAATAATATATTCTATCATTAAAACGTATATATACAGTATATATTTTTTTAACATTATTTTTTATATGTTACGCTTCGGCTTGGGTCTAATTGTCCACGCTCAACTAACGTTGCCTGTAAATCACCACGGTCCATTACGTTGTGGCAAGCTTCGGGGACACTTCCTGGAGTCGTGGAGTTCTTCCATTACTAGTACGGTACATTTCATTCAAGCGTGTTTAAAAAAAAAGTTTATTAAATATTACTTATTCAAGTGTGACCTGTGTGCAGTGCCGGATTATCCTAGTAGCAAAAGTAGCTACAATATGTAGCTACGGGCCCCGCACTTTCAAGGGTCCCGCGCTAAATACTTTCAAGCGATCCGTTCCGGTTCAGTGATTCTGCACTTGCTCTATTACTATTGTACTATACTGTCTTCAACTTTTACGAACGACTGGGTGTTTAAGGTTAGCGATTTGTCGTATTATCTGGCTGTATAGCAAATGAAAAAATACAATTACTTTACTATGCAAGTTAAACATTTGTGTTTTAATTTTGATGTGTTTTTCTACTTAGGGTCCCTTCATAATATATATGCTACAGGCCCCGCACGAGCTTGATCCGGCACTGCCTGTGTGTGGCCTCTACTCTGACAAAGGGCCACGAGCAAAATAAACACATCGTCCTTCTAACACACACACGTCTGTTCATAATAAGGGTTTTTTGGTTAAATCGCGTAGGGTATAAATGCGTCTTAACCCTCCACCACCGGTTTGTTGGCGAGTAAATACACAACATTTACAAATTGAGTATGACATTTCGCTGGTAATTACATCCAGCATCATTGGGCGATTTTCCACTATTCTGGCACCGGTAGGCTAAGGGGCCGTCCATAAATGACGTCACACACCTGGGGGGGGGGGGGTCAGACATTTGTGACGCCGTGTGACGATGGGGGGGGGGGGTCAAAATAGTCCAAAATCGCGTGACATCATTTATGGACGGTCCCTAAGTAGTAACTAATTGGCAGGTTTTGTTTACGTGACAAACCTTACTGGCTGTGTGGGGTGGTAGAGAGTCACGACACATTTAAACTTACGCGATCTGACCCAAAAACATTCATTATTCATTATCAATGTGATTGGTCGCGAAAGCTTACGCGTAATTACACACGTTTCTGTTTCATAAGGTGGTGTTGATGATAATGATGACGATCGAGATCAAGATGTCATGACGGCCAT